ACCCTTCCACATCCACCTGCAACATCCTTGGCTCCTGGAACACTCTAATGTGCCTTAAAGAACATCTGCAGGCACACAGATGTGCAGAACCATCAGACCACAGCACCCGCCCCCCCCACTGCAGTCAGACCTCTCACACCTTCAACAAACCAGGGGCTAATTCTGATCATTCCTGGCCCAGGACTCCGAGCTGCCTTCCTCACCCCCAGCCAGGCAGCTCATGCCCTTCTGCTTCTCCAGGTGGTCCTCACAGTGAGGAGGTCCCATCCTGGGAGGCCCCATGGGGCTCAGACACCCCCAGACCTGCTGCTGCCTCCTCCCTCAGTGATGCTGAGGATGCTTAACAAGCACTGAAAGAGAATAGAGCACCTCCTTGCCCAGCTCATGTACTAAGACCAAAGCTCCCATTACTTTGGGGAAAAAAAACCCAAACAAACAAACAAAAAAAAACCCAAAAACACACAAGCAAAACAAAACAAAAAAACCCCCAAAAAACCTACCCCTCTTATTTTCAATAAGGCTGCAATCCTGCTTTTCTAGGCTCAAAAATTCACCTGGTCACGGGGAACAGGTCATGGTACATGGAAGAGACCCCCCCCTTCTCCTCAGGTGGGTAAGAGGACTGGTACCAGGCAGCAAAGCTAATCTGAGAGACAGCTGGAGAAACCTGAATTTAAGCCATGATGCAGGTGTTTCCTTCAGTCTCTCAGGGCCAATTCACAGGTTTTCATCTCAAATTATAAATCACCAACACATGAGGGTTAAGCATTTTCCCTCCTTCAGCATCCTCCCTCCAGGCTGTGCAGCTACCACAGTGCCAGCAGAAAAAGATCAGTAATATTTCCTTTATAGGATGTCATCTGAATTATTCCTCTAGCACACTTTCTCCTGGTTTGCTGTGATCCCTGCAAGATGGTACAAAACACACACTGGACTCAACTTGCAGAGTCACCACATTCAGAGAAATTCACTGGGATTTTTCTCTCTTGGGAAATGCCCACAGCTTGACCAGATCCATCAGCAGTTCTAGAGTGCAACAAGAAAAAGCAGCATGGAAGCAGGCTTTTAAAAGCTTGAGGGCTCTTAGGTTATGTTAGGGCTCAAACACAAGACTCCAGTTAGTGATGTCAAGGTCTTGGCAAGGTTGCAGCTGCTAATTCTTAAAATTACCTGAATTAAAAAAAAGACCTCCGATAAGAAAAGAACTACAGAAACCCTTTATGCACTCATGCCATCTACTGGGGGCACATAAAACTAACAGAAAGCCATGAGACGAGGGGGGAAAAGGGATCCCATGGGAAGTGGGGGATAGCAGGTGAGGAGCTACCACCCCTATGGGTGGGAACCCTGCTGGAGAGGCTTTAGGGTCTTCAGGTCGTGCCTAATAAATAGGATTTTAACAGAGCAAAGCAACACTCTCTCTCCTCTCCATCATCAGCCCAAGGAGACTCAGGCAGACTCCAGCACGAGCTGCAAACACTCCACCCTCAGCTTTTTAACCGAGACCTTTTAAGGCCAAACAATTAGGTAATGGCAGAGCCCACGCTGCTAAAAACCCGGAGATAAATGCATCCCAGTCCTTGCAGAATTACTGGAAGCCGTATTAAGGGCATGAAGGAACTGGTAACAGATGATGATTATATATAAAAGGAATAAGAAATCTTTGAGATTTGTGCTGCTCCCTGGTTGAGCTGCTCGGCTCCAGCTCTGTGGTGTATTAATTGCTTACAAGGCTGCATGTATATTTTATGCTCAGTACCTGCCTGGAACATTTGTTGGATTTAGCCTTGATTGATGAACCACTGATTATATACTTCTGTGGTCCTCAGCAAATTAATAAACTGTTGACTGGTAGAGATTAACAACATGTCATGATTTGTGAATCTGTGTCCAGAGTAAAGCTGGAGCAAACCTAGTGCTAAAATTAGTAGGCAAATGCTCCCTGAACTCTATAAAAAGGGGATAGCTTAATTAAATTACATCCCGATATTGCCCATAGCACTTACCAAATTGGCAAATTGAGTTCACAGCAGTTCAGCTTCAAAACTAACTGACATCCCTGAAAATTTGCAGCACATGACCCCATCCCTTCTTGCACTGGAAGCCCAGTTCACACCCAGCAGGCCCCAGGAGCAGGAGTGGGATAAGGAGGGGCAGCACAGGAATGAGCAAAGAAAGTACCAGAATGTGTCAAACCCAGCCTGTGTGAGCTCTGAGACCCCACTCCCAGCCCCTCTGATCCCACTCATCACCACGAGCACCACCCAGGGCTGGGGGCTGTGCTGCCAGCTCCTCCATCAGCCTTTTCCCTGGACAATGGAGCACGGTCAGAAGCATGGGGACAGCTCCTTCCACACCTCTCCTCATAGCCCTCCTTTGCCAGGGACCGACAACAGGTCAGAGAATAAAACATTGCACAGGGCTGGGAGAGCTGGGAAGCAGCGTGGGCTGGTGTCAGTCCAAAGGCAAGCAGGGAGACAAGGGCTGGGATGCAGTGGCCGTCCCCACACTCCCCGTGCACTGCTCAGCCCTGCTGTCCTCAGGCTGGGACTGGGGAGCTTCACCCCAAGAGTGGGTGCAGAGGGACAGAGCAGCCTCATGCTCCTGCAGTGGGGAGAAAAAGGGGTGAAGAGCAGAGTGGGGAGAGACTGTCTCCTGTCCCCATGGGATGCACAGCCCCAGGAGCCTGATGTGATGTGAAGGGTGGGAGTTCCTGCGGTCCCCAGGAGGGGATGCCCTCCAGGAGAATGTTCCTGCTGCTCCTCCCTTCTCCCCTCACCGTTCATTCTCTTTACACACAGCCTCAGTCAGGCTTTACAGAAGCTTTACCCCAAGTGACACAGTTTTCCTTTTCTGCCTTTTCACATGCCAGCACTAGGTCTGTACTTTATTGACAATTTCTATCTTAATATATCCTGACTTTAAAAAGAGGCATTGCTTCCCAGAGGCGTGAGGTGATAAGAGTCCTGATTGCTTCTGACAGTGCCTGGCAAGCACGTTGGCATTCAGAGCAAAATAAATAAAAAAGGGGGAAAACACCCCAAAAGACTAGAAAGGCAGCTGCTCCCTGGAAAAGGGGACAGAAAAAATGGCAATGGGAAAAGAAAGGAGGAAGAGGAGAGGAGCAGCAAGGGGGAGATGGCACCAGGCGTTGCTGGTGACACATCAGACTGTCATACTAAATGGCCTTAACAAGCAACCTGAGAAGGGGATAATGAAAACGCCTCCCCCCGGGACAGCACGGCTCCAGCCTGACCTTTCCCAGCTGCCGTGTACAAACATCTTCAATAAATAAAGAGACACTTATCTCCTGTCTCTGCTGAGACGGGAGGGATGTGGCGAGGGGCTGTGCCTGCAGTGGGATGAGAGGTTTCAGGGGTTTAGGAGCAGGGAATGTGGGGTTGAGGGGCTGGTGGGGTGGGTGACAGCTCTGGACCCCCTTGGGGGTCACCACGGCTTCCTAGCAGCCAGAGGCTTCACCAACAGACAAGAAAAGATGCTCCAGGTTTGCATCACTTCCCAAGGCTCTGTTGTGTGTCTCTGCAGTCATTCTGGATTCACACAGGCTCCTCATGCAGGGGAGGGATGACTTTGATGTCAAGGTGAGATGGGTTAGAGCTGGGCGAGGTCTGAGCTCTGCTGCTCCCATCTGGAAGCACAGCAAAACCCTTCTGGGCATCAACGCCTGGGAACACATCCACGGAACTGTCCACAGCCAGGCTGGACCAGGCTCTGGCAGCCTGCTCTAGGGAAGGTGTCCCTGCCCACCAGGGGGTTAGGACAAGATGACCTTTAAGGTCCTTTCCAATTCAAACCCTTCTAGGATTCTAATATTCAGAGCCTCTGCCCAAAACTAATGCTCTAGTGTCTAGAAGATTTTCTGGACTCTGCAAAACCTGGGGCTCAGTAGATTGTTTGGCAAGACAGCATGTTCAGAAACAAATCAAGACTGAGGATGGCAGAGATGCCCAGAGGTGGATAGGCTGGGGGGATGCTTCATCTTTCTTCTGCACTGGGAAACAAACAAAGCAGGAGAAAAAGTGAGGCAGCTTTCCACCTCTGCTTCTTGACAAGCAGGAAAATCACCACCAGCCTCAAGCATTTTTTTCTTTTGCTCATCTGAGCACCTGGGCTGCTTCCCTGGAGTCCTTAAGACATTTGTGATTTGCTGTGAAGGCCCCAGGACTGGGGGAAGTTCACCTCCAGCACACACATCCCCTCAGCCACAGGACGCAGGAGCGGGTCACATCTCCCTCTGGCTTGTCCCCAAACCAGAGGCCA